GCTACTTGGGAGGCTGAGGCAGGAGACTCACTTGAGCCCAGGAGTTGGAGGTTGCTGTGAGCAGTGAAGCCATGGCACTCTACCCAGGGGGACAGCTTGGTATGTTTTTAAGTAGGTGCTAGAGATTGATGTACACTAATATCAGAATCACGGTTACCTTAGGTGAGAAAAGAGCGTATGCAGCTGGGGAGAACTCACAAAGGGCACTTCTGGGGTACTAGTGATGTGAGATACAGGAGTTTTGTTTCTGGTCTTTGAACTGTACATTTTATAGACTGGCAAAGTGTACTATACACACCCTATGTGACCTCCCTTTCCCTCTCCCCCAAGTGTGAGGTGGCCTAGTGACTTCTACTACAATACAGCAAAAGAAGTGGGTTGTCATTCATGACTCCTTATCAACTCTTTGTGTTCTGGTTTGCATACTTCCATGAAGCAAGCTGCCATGTTGGCAAGGCCTTTGTGACAGCATCTGAGGGTGACCTCCAATTAACAGCCCACAAGGCATTGAATCCTGAACACCCTTGAGTAAGCTAGGATGCGGCTTTTTCACTTGGACTGTGAGACTGTGGAAACTGCAAACATGGCCTGTTGAGAGATCATGAAGCAGAGGACTCAGTTCAGACACGTCTGTTTCTGACCCACAGAAACTGAGACGTTGCTTAGTCATCTGTTTGGGGGTAATCTGTTATACAGCAATACAAAGTCAAAACAATATATTCTGTATGTTTGAGTCACAGTAAAATTGAGTTCATAGCTCTAGAAAATATAAAAACAGGCTCAGTAGGTGGTCTGTATTCAAGTTTCACACAGTTCACTGTGACATTTCTTATGAGGCTTGCCTGGAACCAAGCACTGACCTAGGTACTAGAGTCCACTGGTAACCACTTGCTACACAAAATCCTTTGATTTTACAAGCTACTATAGACCATATCTAATTCTTAGAACTGTATGAAGCAAAGTATCTTCCTATTTATTATAGAAGGTATGGTTATATTTGCATATATCAAACTCCCACTCTCAGCTAGTAAATTGTTTGCTATACATATCCATGAGTCTCCAACTAGCAGAGAAGTGATGGGTTCACCTGGTTAATTTACCTTGTATTCAAGAACTTCTTCCAGGGCCGCGCCTGTGGCTCTAAGGAGTAAGGTGCTGGCCCATATGCTGGAGGTGGAGGGTTCAAACCCAGTCCCAGCCAAAAACTGCAAAAAAAAAAAAAAATTCTTCCTCAAGGAAGTCATTTGGCATCTTTCTGAGCACATCAAATCTTACTAGACATGGTGTATATAACATCTCATCTAAATAAGCCCTCTGGAGCAGATGGTGACTTTACAGTGGTCTTGGTTTTTGTTCCACACTTGTTCACTGGGACCTGGTAGCTTCCTTCTTCCTGCATGTGAGGGAAAAGGAACTGAAAATTAAAGTTGACTTTATTGCAAAAAAAAAAAAAAAAAAAAACCTGCCCTACCCTCAAGATTGTTAAGGACTTTGTCACCACAAGGGGGCCGTATCTTGTCTGTAGCAAACATGTCTTGCCCCGTTAAGTCTGGCATTTGCATCAAGCTTTACAGCACTCTAGCCTGAGTCTCACCTTTGTCACCCTCAGTAGTGCTGTGGTGTCACAGCTCACAGAAACCTCCCAACTCCTGGGTTTAAGTGATTCTCTTGCCTCAGCCTTCCGAGTAGCTGGGACTACAGGCGCCTGCCACAATGCCCAGCTATTTTTTTGTTGCAGCTTGCCCAGGGCCAGGTGTATTCTAAAGGTAGCTGGTACTAGTAACCTAGCCTTTTTCATCCCATGCCCTTTTCTGACATGACCTGCGTATGTTTTATCTGTTCTGCTCAAAGCCTACCTTGGGAAACTCAGTGACACTTTGGGTCAAGGGAATCACAATAGTATGTGCAATTAAGCAGATGTAGCCAAGTGTTGTGTTTGAAATGAAGTAACCTGTTGCTGCTTAAAATGAGACCTTTGTCAATACCCTAACCAAAATGAGGACAGACAATTATTACTTAGTTTTTATTTCATAATCATAAACTTAACTCTGCAATTCAGCTAGACGTGGAGAGGAATAAGGAAAATATGCAAACCAAAGAACTGCAGTGAGAGCACAGAGATTACAGGATATTGCGAGCAAATGGGGTACAAGGGTGCTCTCCTGAGCTACAGAAGGAATGGTTTGGTGGCTGAAACATTAAGTCAAATTTATTACAGTTGTCCACAGTCAGTAATGGTGATCTTCTTGCTGGTCTTGCCATTCTTGGACCCAAAGCGCTCCATGGCTTCCACAACATTCATGCCTTCTTTCACCTTGCCAAAGACCACATGCTTGCCATCCAACCTGAAAGCAGAACAATCACTACCTACTACCAGTAACTAAGATAATCAACCAATTTGCATTGTGTACCAAAATAAAAACAGAATTCCATTAAAAACACTATATCCAAGAGCAGCTGTCCTCAAACTGCAGACTGTTGCAGACATTTTTCCAGCCCACCAGGCGTTTTTGCCACCGCTGCCTGTCCTGCTTAGCAGCCGACCCGTCCCAGGGCCTGCAGTCTGGCCCTCCAACGTTCTGAGGGACAGTGAACTGGCCCCCTGTTTAAAAAGTTTGAGGACCCCTGTCCAAGAGGATAAATTAAGTGGCTTATTCAGCTTTTTGTACTACATATCGGTCATTACACCTTTCTAAGTGAAATGGCAATACCAGGCCACCCATGGTGGCTCATGCCTGTAATCCTAACAATCTGTGAGGCTGAGGTGCATAGATAGCCACATACACCAGAGCTGATGGGTTTGAACCCAGCCCAGGCCTGCCAAACAATGACAACTACAATAAAAAAATAGCTGGGCATTTGTGGAGGGCAGTCCCAGCTACTTAGAAGGCTGAGGCAAGAAAATCACTTAAACCCAAGAGTTTGAGGTTGCTGTGAGGCCATGGCAGGTGCTCTGAAGACAAAAGTGAGACTCTGTCTCAAAAAAAAAAAAAAAAGAAGAAATGGCAACACCACTGTTTAATATAAGCCAATCTTAAAAAGGAGGCAAAAGTTCTCAAATTACCGCTAAGAGTTGCACTTTTTAAAATGAACTCAAAAAAAAAAAAAAACACCCACCACATGCTCATTACATAAAAACAGCTCAGTTATCTTACATTCTGTATCATGTTAATTTATATAGCTATGCATGCCATTCTTTTTTCTTTGGTAGAGACAGAGTCTCACTTTATACTGAGGGGTCACAGCTCATAGCAACCCCCAACTCCTGGGCTTAGGCAATTCTCTTGCCTCAGCCTCCCAAGTAGCTGGGACTACAGGTGCCCACCACAACACCCAGCTATTTTGTTGCTGTTGTTACAGTTTGCCCGGGGCTGGGTTTGAACCCACCACCCTCAGTATATGGGGCCAGTGCCCTACCCACTGAGCCACGGGCGCCGCCCCATGCATACCATTCTTTTACTACCTTAGAGATGAGAACCATTGATCATTTAGTCTTTTGGTTGCATTTGCTATGTTCTACCCTTACCACTCAGTCTTGGTAGTACAGATGAAAAACTGGGAACCGTTCGTGTTGGGTCCAGCATTTGCCATGGACAAGATGCCAGGACCTGTATGCTTCAGGACAAAGTTTTCATCTTCAAATTTCTCCCCGTAGATAGACTTGCCACCAGTGCCATTATGGCGTGTGAAATCACCACCCTGTGAACATATTAGGAGCCTATCATTTTTGGCAACATAAGCAGAAGTATGCCAAATCAGCAAGGTTCAAACTGAGCAAAAGGGTTAAGTGGAACCAAAATGGTAGAACAACTCAAGATATAAGCATCCTGAAATATTCTCCAACACCAAACTGCAGGAGTAACCCAAATAAAAATCACGAAATTTCATACCTGGCACATAAACCCTGGAATAATTCTGTGAAAGCAGGAACCCTTATAACCAAATCCTTTTTCTCCAGTGCTCAGAGCACGAAAGTTTTCTGTTAAAAAAAAAAAAAAGAAAAAGAGGGTGACAGTACTCTAGCCTGGGCAACAGAGGGAATGTCTGAAAAAATTAAAACACATATATACATGCACTCTGTTACTACACATATACACACAAACATACTAATTACTACATTTTAAGAAAAAAAATGGAACCAACCTGCTGTCTTTGGAACTTTGTCTGCAAACAGCTGTAACAGAAAATGGCAGTTAATTAAGAACATCTGCTTACATATTTTACTGCTTAGTACCCTTGCCTGTATTGACTTCTGAACCATAATCCATTTTCTCACTAGCAGAGAATGCTTCAATAATTACTTTGAATCCCAAATAAAAACTGGGCCTGACAGCCTTAAGGTCCAGGTTGGTTACAATGAAAACCAAGGATATGCCCAAAATACAGAAACCAGTATGACTTAAACAGTGAGAGACTTCTAAAAAGTGACTTAAGAACTTTTCCCTATAATATATGCTGAACAGATATAAGCTTTTCAATGTATATCACCACCCCCAATTGCAGATGGAACCTAAGGACAAAATTCTAAGGAATAGCAAGTACTGCTGCATAACTGTTGTTTTAGTCACTCGTAATGAAAATGCTACTACCTCCAATCTGTTAACATAGCTTTATGGATTAGATGAGCAGTCACTTCTTGGTTCCCAGGTCCTAGTAGTGGGGTAAAAAATAATAAAAGATTGGTTTCTAGTGCAGCTGCTTTGAACCTTTCCTGGATTCATAATACATTACAGCTAGAGATGAAGCTTAAATACCATAGAAAAACATTTACAAGCCCTTTCACAAAACAGCTTGTATAAAAGTAGCATTTTACGAAACATTCCAGAGATGTAATTAAATCAACTGTTAACATCCCTGTGTATTCTTTTTTCAGGAAGGTACTTATTTTTTAGTTTTTGTACCGAAAATATATGGTCTGTTTTTTAAGCATTCACTTTTCTCAGTGAATAGTCCTTATTTCTACAATTACAAGTGACTTCGGCTTCCCTAAGTAGACTAACTAGAGCTGGAAGTTCTCATTGGCAGTTCCACATACAATCTCACCAAAGGACCTCCAGGAAGTCCAGCCTCATTCATTTTCATTAAGCTCTCTACCTGAGACTAACCTGCCCAGCATCAGGCTCAAGCCAAGTTTCCACTAGCGTCCTTGTCAATTATCTGACTACAGATAAGTGCAGTGTAGATAGATTAGCATGTAACTCTCCAAGTGACTAAATGCCTACCATAGTAGGCAACACGGAAGCCCCCTCACGAGGACTGCAGCAGAGGGAAACCTATTTTTCGATTAAGATCCCTAACCATTAGTGGCTTTTTGCTAAATGGCTCAGGACATTACACTGTATTTCCCTACACCCTGAGACCTATGATAACTGAGTTCACTGGAACGGAATTGCATTTACATAACATTAAACCTTTTAGAAGAAATGACAATTTTAGGTAACTCTGCTGTAACTTTTTGTAACTACTCCTTCAACACCCTCAAAACTAATTAGATAATCATTAGTAATCCACCTTGGTCAGAAGAGCCCTGCCCTGTGACCAGTCTCAACTTGCCTGCTACGCTTCATAGGAACGGCGGGAGGACTCGAGAGCGCCCCCCGCCGGCGCCGCTACTGCAGCGAAGCAGTCTTGGGGCACCGGCAAAGCAAGGCCCGTTTTCACATTTCCGCCTGAGGGTGGAGGACATGAAGGATGTTTGGGGCCTATTTCTAAATACGATTTCCCATTTTAACAAACTGGAGGTACCCTCACGTCACAATCACATCCTCTTGACAAACCCTACATTTCTAGCGCGGCCTCCGGGACTCACAGGAGGACTAAACTAACAAGAGTGGGCTCTCACCGCGCCTTGGTCCTGAGAAAAAAACCCGGACAGGTAGCTCCCAGGGAGCAAAGCACCTCAGCGCCTCCTGACGCTTCCCGAGAGAGAGCTTCCCGGGAGGGCGATCCGAAACGTTTCTGGCCCCGGTCCGCAGTGCTCAGGCCGAGCCAGGGCGGGGCCCAACGGCTCTGAGGGCGCGGGCTGGAGCGCGGCCGCCGAGCACGTGTGCCGGGCAGGGCGCGGCCACGTGGACCCGGCGGGCCGGCAGGCAAAGGATGCGGGCCTCCGGCCCCACCGCCCGCGCGGCCGCCCCACCCGCCTTTGTCCGCCGCCGCCCCAGCCTCCCCCCAGCGACTCGCCACCTCCCAAAATGGCCCCTCATCAGGAAATGGCGCCGCCACCCGCCCGCCCTCGCTTCTCAGGAAGGGTCGGCCCGGGCCCCGGGCCCCAGCCCTCTGGGCGCCGCCACCCGCCTCCCCCTCAGCCCGCTCCCTGGGCCCAACCCCGAATGCCACCGTCCACCCGACCTCGAAGGAGACGCGGCCCAAGGGCTCGCCGTCGGCGGCAATATCGAAGAACACGCTGGGGTTGACCATGGCTGATACAAGACGATTATAAGAAGCGACAGCGTCTGCAAAGCGGCACGAGCTGGGTCGCCCGCACCTTTTATAGCAGGTTCGGCCCCACCCCACCCCAACCGGTCTCGCGCCTCAACCTTGGCCAATTGTAACTGCACTTCGGCCAGAGTGACGATGACTCTGGCCTATGGGCAAAAGCCAGCGCCTGGAAGGCGGGACGGAAGGCGCGCGTGCGCGCTGCCGCGCGGAGGCAGGTTCCCGCCCGCGGGCTCCGTCGTGGTGGCTGCAGCGCGGAGTTCTGTATCGCGGAGAGAGGGGGATGGGTTGGCGCGCAACCGGAGAGTGCGGGAAAACAGACGCGCGCGCGCAGACAAGTGACTGGAACACGGCGGCGCCTCGTTCCCTGCCCTGCGACGAGGCGTGTCTTCCCATTGCACAGAGAGGGCAACTGAGGCGATCGCAAGCCTCAAGGTCGCGCCGCCGGTCAAGGTCGAGCAGTGTCCTGCGCCTTCGTGGCCGGAAATGGAAATGGCGCGTCCCTGGGACCCAAGAACAGTACTGGGACCGGATACTGCCCGGGCGACCTATCGTTTTCTAGCATTATCTGTTGGACTGGACTTCCTAACTGTGAAATCGCTGGCCAGGCCGTGTCAGGGAGGCGAGGTTACCTTTAAGTATCATCGTTTTCTCTAACCCGGGGATGGGGCATGAGCAGTCTCTCCATCTAAGAAAGGTTATGAAATGCTTTCAAAATGCCCTACTTTCCGAAAATATCTTGCTTGCGTTTTTTCCGGGAGGAAGCCATTAAATCAGGAGCCTGGCCAGGCTCTTAACCTGTGAAGATATTGTGCACATTTTGCCCTTTTTTCTCCTTAAATGTATGCGCCCATCTGCACGCGCGTATACATACACACACACACACACACTTCAGGGGCAGGATTGTGTTCTGATTTGCGGGTAAAAGATAAACCACGTTTTAAAAGTGAATTCCTACAGGCAAAAAATACTTTTATTAAAATGCACTTATATGACTTGTCTTTTGTTCAGAAAACCTTGAAAAGGGAATTTATATATCCTGGGCTTCAGTTAGTTGCAATATTCAGAATATTATTTAATGTCTCTAAAACTCAATTTTTTCATCTGCAAAACCAGAATAGAGTTGTAGAGAGACATGAGACTTCATCTGGTAGACAAGTCCAGTGCCTGACCTCTTTGCCATTGTCAATACCATCACAAGGCTAGGAAGTGCTAGGAGTTTAAAGAATTTAAAGAGTGGCTCAGCACCAGCCACATACACCCAAAATGGTGGGTTCGAATCCAGCCAAGGCCCACCAAACAACAATGACAGCTGCAAGCAAAAAAATAGCTGGGCATTGTGGTGGGTGCCTGTGGTCCCAGCTACTTGGGAGGCTGAGGCAGGAGACTTGCTTGAGCCCAGGAGTTGGAGGTTGCTGTGAGTTGTGATGCCATAGCATTCTACCCAGGGGGACAGCTTGAGGCTCTGTCTCAAAAAAAAAGAATTTAAAGAGTGTGTTGGTTTGTCCTCACAGCCACCCCATTTTACAGATGTGGAAATTAAGGCTTCAGCTTCTAAGTTGGGGTAATCTCACGAGTGTTAGCAAAGCCAAAATTGGAAAGTCCTTCTTTTGGGCTCGGCACTTGTGGCTCAAGTGGCTAAGGCACCAGCCACATACACTAAGGTGGCAGGTTCGAATCCAGCCCAGACGCACCCAACAACGGTGATGGCTGCAACCAAAAAATAGCCAGGCATTGTGGCGGGCGCCTGTGGTCCCAGCTACTTGGGAGGCTGAGGCAGGGGACTCGCTTGAGCCCAGGAGATGGAGGTTGCTGTGAGCTGTGATGCTACAGCACTCTACCCAGGGGGAAAGCTTGAGGCTCTGTCTCAAAAAAAAAAAAAAAAAGTCCTTTTGGTCACTGCACATCACCCAGTGCTTTGCAATCTTGAGGAAGCTACTTGTCTTCATCTGACCCTGAAAAAATTACTTAAGGCTATCAGGCATAAATTCTCTCAATTTCTTCATTCCTCTATCCTGATAGAGCAGTTATGAACTCCTCTTAAGAAATGAATATAGAGGGGCGGTGCCTGTGGCTCAAAAGGGTAGGGCTTCGGCTCCATATGCCAGAGGTGGTGGGTTCAAACCCAGCCCCAGCCAAAAAAAAAAAAAAGAAATGAATATAGAAGCTCAGCACCTATAGCTTAAGCGGCTAAGGTGCCAACCACATACACCAGAGCTGGCAGGTTCGAATCCAGCCTGGGCCTGCCAAACAACAATGACAACTACAACCAAAAAATAAAAAAATAGGTGGGCATTGTGGCAGGTGCCTGCAGTCCCAGCTACTGGGGAGGCTGAGGCAAGAGAATCACTTAAGCCCAGGAGTTGGGGATTGCTGTAAGTTGTGATGACACAGCACTCTACCCAAGGCAACAGCTTGAGGCTCTGTCTCAAAAACAAAAAAAAAAAGAAAGAAAGAAATTAATGTATAAACGAGTAATAAACACCTTGTAACTTATTTTCGCTCTTGAAACTGCTTGAAGCCCTGCTTTCTTGTGTTATCGACATTGTCAAGGCACGGTCCTAGGTCTCATTTCTTCTACCCAGGCACAGGGGTATATACACTCAAGAATACAAATGTCCTTGTGTTTTGTTAGTTAAGGGGGAAGCTAATGAATTGTTTTCTAGAATTATCTGTTGAACTGGACTTCCTAGCACAAAATGTCAGCAGACACATAACCTCAGGAATGTGGGGCTGTCCATGCCTTATTTGGATGAATATGACTTTTCGAAAATGAACTCAACAGTGCTCCAATCTGGCTAGCTGGAGGTGTTCTATCCCAGCAGGTGGAACTCCAAAACTTGCCTGTAGTTTTTATCTAGGTAGCATCTTAAAAATGTGCCTGAGCAAAAGAAACTATAGCAGTATTCAAAAATGATAAAAAGAGACTTCTTTGGAAGAGGGTAACTTGTCTCCTGTGAGCCTCTTGCCCAAGGCCTAGCTCAGTATCTCTGCCCACAAGATTGAAGGGAAACTGCTTCTGCTGAGGCCATCAGAGACCTTGCAACCCACAAACCCAGGTGCTCTTTGCAGGCTGGATATGTTTCGTCACCTCATACTTGGAAAGCTTTGACTTTCCAAAGTGTTGATGGCTTTGACTTTTCTATCCTGTTTCTCTTGTATCTGACCATTTCCCCCTTTAACTCTTTCACAGATTTCTCCTCTGTCAGAGTTGTACATTTACTCTTGTTTTGTTCCCTTACACATCCACCAAGATCAGCCTCATCTATTCTCCTGGCTCAGATTCTCAGATAATTCTAAACCAAGCTGTCCACCCAAGCTCACTCGAGGTGGAGTCTCCCTGCTTACTGGGTCTCTTCTCATAGATCAGTAGTTCTCAACCTTCCTAATGCCCACAGGTTGAGAACTGCTGTCATAGATGAAACCCTCAAGACAGCACTTCTCCTCATTTTCCCTTTCCCCAGGCCTTTCTCTCTCTCTCTCTCTCTCTCTCTCTCTCTCTCTCTCTCCTCTCTCTCTTTCTTTTTCTTTCGGGCCTCAACCACTCTCCTTTCCTTTTTCCCTCCTCTCTTGCCAAAGCTTTCCTTCCCAGGCCTTCTCTCTATCCCAGGCCTCTACTCCCCTTGCCACTGCTACAGCTCTTGCTTAGTCTTTCATAGCAGCCTCCTAAACTATTACTGAGCCCCAGTTTTTTCTGGTACTCCCTATTAGTCATTTACAAAATGCTCTGATTTTGTAATTCCCACATTCCATGCTAAGCTTGGGAGAGGGCTCCTGAACACCCACAGTATAGAATCTAAGCCACTCCTTCACAATCTGGTCCCAACTTGGTTTTCAGTCTCAGGGGCTGAACTTTCACCCATGAGAATTCATCTGCCACAATGAATTTCTCACCCTCCCCTCCATACCCCACCACCACCACCACCACCAGCTTTTCTATGGTTCATGCCTTCCCTAAAATGTCTCTTTCCCCCATCCCCCAGGCAAAGCCCACCTACGTGGTCCTCTTTGGGAACCCTTCCTCAGTTCTCCCAGAGTCATCCAACAACACTTAGCTCATTTGTGTGTATCTGACTCCTGTGCCCTGCTGACATCAGAATTCAGTAAAAAATTGTTAAATGAATACAGAAGTGAACATGTGAATGAGATTAATAGCCCCCTGGTGGCACCCATAGCTCAGTCAGCAAGGGTGTCAGCCACATACACCTAAGGTGGTGGGTTCAAACTCAGCCCGGGTCTGCTAAGCAACAATGACAACTACAACCAAAAACTAGGCAGCCGCTGTGGCGGGTGCCTATAGTCCCAGCTACTTGGGAGGCTGAGGCAAGAGAATCACTTAAGCCCAAGAGTTTGAAGTTGCTGTGAGCTATGATGCCATAGCACTCTACCCAGGGTGAAAGCTTGAGACTCTATCTCAAAAAAAAAAAAAAA